ATGATTGATTGGATGAATCTGAAAAAAAAAAAAGAAATGGTGGAGTTTGAAGATAAAGTTTAAAAATAAAAAGGGATAGGAATACTGTAGTAGATTAAGAAAATCAAATATTAGACGAGAAGAGTAGATAAAGTTGAATAAGGCATAAAGAGAGATTGAGATGAGAGAAGTTTAATAGGAGGAGAAATTTAAAGTTAAGACAACACGAGGTCTTTAGAGAAGAATGAAGTATTGGAAGGATTCTAAGCTAAAATGGATTATTAAAAGGAGATGTTAGATTTTTTCATAGATAAGATTTGAGAGTATGTGATGAGGAGTAGTGGGAAAATCCAGGTACAAAAATTTGGTTTTCGGCCTTATGCAAATATTGATATTTTTATGATAGGATTTAATGTCATGATTTATGGTTATGATTTTGGAATATTAAAGTTAGTAGAGGTAGTGTAGGTTGAATTGATATTATTATGAACATGGGAAGATAAGGAAGAAGAAGAGTTTGGAAATAGATAAAAAGGAGGGTTGCAATACTAATGTGATTAAGGAATTTGGAATAATTAAGAAGTTGTAGGTTGTTGATTGGACAATTTCATCAGGTATAGTTATATGGTAGTTTTCAAACCTCAATGGTGATGTAAAGGATGGGTAAAGATTTATATGTCGCACCTTGATCTATATCCAGTGATGTGTGTGAGTGAACTTGTTGATACTTACTTTTAGTTCGCATAAGATAAAAAAAAAAAATTAGATTTAGTTAACACTAAATATCCTGGGGATATGGTTTTGATCTCAGGAAGCACGTTATAATTGAGGTTGGTTGTGGTTGATTGTCCTAATAATCTCTCTAGATCGTTTAACTTATGTGGCATAATTGGTTTATTTAAATGAGTAGGTGCATTACTGATAAGGAATCTAGTTAGTTTTTAAATTCAGCCTTATTGAGATAAAATAAGTGGTTTCAGATTTATAACTTGTGATGAGTAGGTCTGTGAGTCTTATCAGAGATACACAATTGTTAGGTACTGGATTAGAGACAACATTAGTTTGTGAATTCATATTAGCTTAGGTTGGAAGGTATTTGGAGGACAAGGTTTATATTCTTAAGATTTAGAGTTATAAGTAATTCTTGAAGAATGTTTGACTTAGGCTAGTAATGTTTGTTAGGAAAATAATTACATGAAGGTTGAAGTAATTTGGAGTATAATCTGAAATAAGCTTGATTATTCTAGTTTTGTTAAATATTTCAGAAGTGTTTATCAATGAAAGAAAAATAGTGGTTCAACATTAGTGTGGGTTAAATAAAGGATGAGGATCAATATTTTAGGGATATCGACCAATGCAAGTGAAGGATAGACATTATAGTCTAGGTATGATAGAAAGGATGGTTTGGTTAAGTTCAAGATGTTTTTAGAAGTTGTATGGTCTTAAAGGATTGTGAGTTGATGTTGTAGTTATGGTGAAGGCAATATTATTGAAGAAGATAGTTCATCAAGAACGAGTGAAGGAAATGATGCATGATCTTAAGTGTGGAAGGGTTTCTGTGGATGTTTAAAGCAATACTCAATATAGGATTATTTTTGGACAAATTCTGTAAATGGGTATAGAAAAGAAAATAAAGGATGAATTGTTTAGTATAGTGTTTGGACTCGTGTAATCTCAGAGTAATATAAATTTTACGGAGAATAGAAGTAGAGGGTAAGGTGGAACAATCTAGTATAATTTTGGTAAACATAAGTGGCTTTTAGAGGTGTACGATTTCTAGGAGTAGAAATTGTGTTGAGAAAATATAATGGAAGGTTGTTACGGAAAAAGAATGATTCTTAGAGTTTTATAGGGTCATGAAAGTCTTAAATAGGGATCTATAAGGAGAATCACTTTCTGGTTATAGTAGGAATGAAAAGTTTTCTGGAATTTTGTGATTAATAGTTTATGAGTAATGAATTCTTTTAAAACATTAATGGATTATTTTGAAACTAGTGAGGTTAGGGTTAATGATGGTTTTGATGGGGTAAAAAGTGACAAGTAGAAAATGTTAGAGTTTTATGATTTTAATTTTTTTCGTCAGTACATTTCAATTTGAGATGCTAGAAAATTTTAGCAAAAAATTAGTAAGTAGAGTAAATAAATTACAGGAAACTAGAAGATAAGGTGAAATAATCCTAACCTTATTTTTATGTCGATTTTCGGATTTTCGAGGACGAAAATTTTTGTTGTTGGGGAGAATGTAAGACCCAATGAAAAATATTTACCTTAATAGTAATAATTTTATTACTAATAGTAATAAATTTCTTTATGGAATGGAAAATAAATAAGTTATAAAATGTGGAAGATTAATAAGAAATTTGGTAGCTTAATTTGTTAAGACTCATGAACAAATTTATAATAGTTAAATTTTAGCATTTATTAGTAATAATAATTTTAATGGATAGAAAATGTAAATTTTGGATATAAAATTATAGTAATTCTAGAAGGAGATGTTCAAATTTTTGATAATTATTTAGGATTTATTTTAGAAAAGTGAAAAGTGAATAGTTAAAAGTGACTATGAATAGTAAAAAGTGAAAAATGAATTTCTTAGCATGGAAGGATTTGGAATAAAATCCTTAGCATGGAAGAAAAGAAATTAGGATCAGATTGAATCAAGTGGATGATAAAATATTATTTTTTAAATAATATTAAAATAAATAATTATTAAAATATTAATGAATAGTAAATTTTTTTACCTAAAGAGGCCATGGGAAGGAATGGTATTCTACACTAAGAAAAGAGGAATAAGTGGAGCTTGGAAAATAGAGAGAAAGAGTTAGGGAGAAATCTTTAGTTGCAAGAAGAGTAGAGGTTCTGAAGAGTTTGCGGGGAGACAAACACGGAGCAAGAGTAAGGTCTGGATAGAGGTAGGGAAGCTAACTTTTCTATGCTTTTATATTATGATTTTAGGTTTCTATGCTTTTATATTATGATTTAGTGTATTGTTTTATTACGTATTCATATCTTGAATTCTGTGCGAATACATTAATGCTTACTGTATGTTTATCTATACTGAAATTCGGTTGTTAATATTATCTGCTTGTTGTGAATTGTAAATAAGAAATTTGTTAACAACTAATGAGGGAACACTTGGCTAAGGAAAGAACGTGGTACTTAAGTTGTCCTTGTGAACGCACCTCTCTTCTGGAAGTCTACTCGACAAGTTTTAACTTAAATCCTATTGAACAGATTTTGGTACTGTTAAATTATTGTGCAATATATCTTGTTGGAATGAAAATGTCTGATGAATTCATATTATTGTGGGTAGATATGGACTATGAATTTAATTGTGATAATTGTATTTTATTATTTGCAATTGCATTTATGCATCTGAACATTGATAAGTCGATATTTTTTTTAAATGAATTATTCTATGTGTTTTAAGGATATATGTATGCGATTATCATGTTTGGCATTAAAGTAAAAGGGTATGGATTCAAAGTAATGGAAAGTGTGTGGTTTTACAAGTATGGTTAATAGACGTAATTCCATGAATCTCAAGTGAGGTCATGGTGGTGAATGTTATTAGACGTAATTCCATGAATCTCAAGTGAGGTCATGGTGGTGTATGTTATTGGACGTAATTCCATGGTCTTCAAGGAGAAGATACATGGTGGTGCCCTTATTTTGTGGGGATGATTTGCATGGGAGCTCAGTCTTGGGTGGTTACCTGAAACTCCAATGGTCTGTCATCTCAAGTAGAGAGGATTGAACCATGTGGTGGGGAGTAGCAGGAGGTCCTAGCTTGGAGGCTTCCAGTATGCTCCAAGGGAGTTGAGTAACGGATTAAACCTCGTGAGTGTTGGTAGGGTGGGGCACCAAGTTTCATAAGCCACCACGAGTGCATGACCCGCCATAGCTCGGCAATCATTCCAGTTCCGGAGAGTCAAGTATCAAGTGTATTAAGTCAAGTGAAGGGGGTAACAAGTAATGCCGTATAGTTAATTCATCTGCATGTACTTGCATGTTACACTTATAATTAAATTGTTAAAATTTAAGTTTGACTAATATGGGTTATATGTAAATTTGTTTTAAAAAAACCCTAACACTCCTTTTCCTTCACCTTTTTTACTACACGATGAAAACTCTTAATTGTGCAAATAGAACCCTTGACATCGACAACATTGTTTACGTTACGGAGATTGTTGTGTGCCTAAAGGTTGTTTTTTTGTCATTGTTGTGTGTGAGGAATAAGATTGATTTTTCTCCTTTTCTCTTTTAACTAATGGACCTATGTGTGATTGTTTTTGCTTAGCCATATATAGTGATTGTTTAATCTATATAATCTTGATTTTGTAAAATTTATTAAAAATAGATAGAAAATTATTTTTTACTCAAATGTTTTTGTAGTTTTAATTGTATTTAAATGCGAAGCGTAAACATCTGACATAAAATTACAAATTTAGACTTGTCACGAATTAGTGATAAAAAATATTAAATGATGATAATTTTTGTTATGGATTTGGGATAAAAACTTCCAATAAAAGTTGTTGGAGATGAGATTCTACAATTTTAAATTGGAGATAAAATTTGGCTTAATTTTTTTTTAAAAAGACCAAATTTATGTTTGTTTGCCTCTACAATAGACCTATGTCTGTTATATATATGCACCATATGAAAATTTACGTTTTCTACCCACAATTACGTGATCTAGGTCAGGCTTAAAAAGCCTATAATATATGAAAGTACAAAGTTTTTTTGTGTTAGTGCATTAATTAAAGTCAACTAATTATTACAAATCAAGGGACAATAATAACAACTAACTCCTGAGCTTTTCATTCTAAAACTGCTAGTACATATAAACTCTTAATTAACATTATTCAAAATATTAACTTTCATTTAATCAATAAAACTTTCACATGAATAAAGTATAAACTAGAATAAAATTATAATACAATAAGAATAACTGAAGAAAAAATAAAGAAAACAAAAATACTGAGGTGGGACTGCATATATTTTTTGTGCCGTGTGGTTGATCATCTTCCATCACCAAAGTCAATTAATTGAAGTTCCTTCAGGCTATCATATCCAGCATTCTGTTGGCCACTACTGTCACCAGGTTCACGAATGCTTGGTGCCTCAGAAAGCAAGTATTGTCTCTCCTCAAAATTTTGGCTTGTATTGGTCCAAGGATGTTTGTCCATAAGCCTTATTCCCTCCAATTCCATTGCCACTTCCTTCATGCTAGGCCTTTCCTCCCCTCTAAGTTTCAAGCACCTGGCAGCAAGAATAGCAACCTGCATGATCTCGTGTTTATTTTCTTCATCCTCAACACCAATCTGAAGAACATCAAATAGATGATCCTCTTCCAAGCTACATACAAAGTGAAATGTGAGACTTCGTTTATCTTCTGCCCTTTGAAAAGAGAAAGGCTCCTCCCCAGTTAGCAGTTCTACAAGCACTACTCCAAAGCTATAAACATCACTCTTTTCAGTCAATTGGCCTGATTGCATGTACTCTGGGTCTAAATACCCAAAGGTTCCTTGCACAATTGTGGCTATTTCAGTTTGGTCTTGCGGAACCAATCGCGAAGCTCCAAAGTCAGAAACTTTGGCAGTGTTATTGTCATCCAAGAGTATGTTGGCAGTTTTCACATCCCTATGGATGATGGGTATG